TTTACACAAGTTACATTGAACCTTAAACTTCAGCAGAGTTGTGATATGAGGACATGCAATGAAGGCACAGAACCATGAGCAATTCATTCATTGCTAATAATTGACCGTGCCTATCATTCACAGTCTTCCAGTTTACTAATTTATAAGTGAACTTAATGTTGGCTGCTGTTTCCAGAATATGGTTTTTGTGATATTTTGCCGGTTTTTTGTTGTGCTTGTCAGTACTTTGTAAATATTCAGTTTAAAAAGCATACTTTGGAATTGAATTATTATTTGCTAGTAAATGAAAGTCAGTTAATTTTTTTAACATCTCCCAACCACTTAAAATAGCATGAGGTATATTATATGTCCAAAGCATTCATTTCATGTAACTCAACCAAGTCTTCTTTCCATTGAGCCTGATTTCCCTTTTACATGGCCTCACATGTACTGAGAACCCAGGAATGGACACTTGGAGCAGATACAAGTTACATCCAGCACCTAAGCACTAGGTGAAGAGAAATCTCAAACTCACATCAGTTTGAACATTGATTTTGCCAGTGGCAATTTCTGAGGCAAAGTCATTTGTAGACCTTTTACTTTAAACACATCCAAGGAAGTTGAACAAGACCAAAATCGTGTTATCCCATTGTCTACAAAATCGATCCACACAGTACATATTTAATCTTGGATTTGTAAGTTGAACAAGAATTTGCTGGAAGTGTGACCTGGTACAGGGGACGAATACAATTATTTTTTACCNCCTCTCGATTTCAACACTCACGCATTCGGGCACTGCGTTTTGGTTTCGGGCAAGAAGGTCACCGCCCCCCAAGTCCGAAGGTGCCCGTACGGCTATGCTGCTCCCTTCTTTCCATTGAGCCTGATTTCCCTTTTACATGGCCTCGCATGTACTGAGAACCCAGGAATGGACACTTGGAGCAGATACAAGTTTCATCCAACACCTAAGCACTAGGCGAAGAGAAATCTCAAATTCTCATCAGTTTGAACATTGATATTGGCAGTGGCAATGTCTGAGGCAGTCATTTGTAGACCTTTCAATTTAAACACATTCAAGGAAGTTAAACAAGACCAAAATCGTGTTGTCCCATTGTCTATAAAATAGATCCACACAGTACATATTTAATCTTTGATTTGTAAGTTGAACAAGAATTTGCTGGAAGTGTGACCTGGTACAGGGGACGAATACAATTATTTTTTACCACTTACATTGAAGCAAAACATACCCTACTTCTCCCATCAAGCTTCTAGTTTTTAAATTTCATTTATTGCAAATTATTTTTGTTATTTTGAAAGAGCCATAGCTCATTAGCAAGTTGTTTATGATTCCTGTTGGTTAATAAGGAAATACAGCGGGCGAAATTCGATTGATCAAGCTTTACACAAGTTTTCAAGGACAAAACATTGCTTTGATTTCGAATTATTCAACCTTT